GCAGGGTGCTGAATGAAACTGCCCCATGTTACTGTGGTGCTGAGCTGGCTGCCTGGCTGAACTGGAAGAGCCCTGAGGACAGTGAAAAAGTGGGGACGATTCTTAAAGAAAGAACCATTGATCAGAAATATTTTTCAGTGACTGTTATGGACTGAACTTAATTGAGTTTCAAATGTTTTAATATCAAATCTTAAGAAGAATTTGAGATCTACAAATACTTCCTACAAAGATGTCTATGTGTTGATAACAGCTAAGCCATTATTTTGATATCATGTCTAGATATCCCCCCTCCACTGTTAAGCTATACAGAGAAAATAACTAAATTATGAAGACAGAGTAAAGCAGAGATTCTCAAACTTTAATATTTTTAGGATATCTTGGAGAAATGGTTACAATGCAGGCTCTGATTCATTAGGTTTGAGGTGGGGCCTGAAATCCTGCATTTCTAAACAGCTTCCAAGTGCCCCAGTGCTGCTGGTCTTAGGACCACACGGATAGCAAAGGAGTAAAGAACTAAAATGAAAGAGGAAACACGTCAGTCATTTAAATCATAGCCAACTGTAACCAGAAGGCTTAGCTGGAGGGCTAATAAGATGGGGTACACTGAAAGCCATCTGTCCTCCATCCTCAAAGGGTAAATGGGCTTAAACTGCAGAATTAAAATATGAAGAAACATTTCCAGGTGAAGAAGGTTCTAGAAGAGTTAACAAGAGAAGAATGAAAAACTTCTCTTCTCCCCTCCTCCATTCCTACCCCCACCCCCGCTGCCCCAGGCTCTTGAACAACACAGATCTGGATGACTGCAAAGGATAGGAAGGAAGACAACAATAGTTAGAATTCTTTAAAAGCCTCCATACTTGGTAATTTTTTTTCGTACCCTGTTTAGTGTCCCTGGTGAGGAGCCAGATCCAGAGACTGCAGCAGCTGCACTGGGGAAAGTGGGGAGGAGGGATGGTGAGAAGTGCTTTTCCCCATCGCTCTACAAAATGAATGCAGATTGCTGTGACATCCCAGGGTCTCAGTCAGGAGCTGAGATAGGACCATGTGCATTAGCTCCTAAGTGACAAGACCAAAAATAAACAGGCATTCCCCACAACTCAATGAAACACATAGGCCACATCCCACAGCCATCTTTCACCAAATAACGCACAGGGCACAAGTCAAAGTGTAGTTCCCAACTTCAAGCCTTTACTATTTAAGGAGATTGGCAGGTGGTAAAAGACACCAAACCGCTAGCTGAGATCTCCTCCTAAATAAATAAGTAAAATTGAGATAATTAAGTGACTATAGCAATCTACAACACCTTTATTCTTTTTTAAAGATTTTATTTATTTATTTGACAGGTAGAGTTACAGACAGTGAGAGGGAGAGACAGAGAAAAAGGTCTTCCTTCTGTTGGTTCACTTCCCAGATGGCTGCAATGGCCAGTCCGGTGCCAATCTGAAGCCAGGACCCAGGAGCTTCTCCCCGGTCTCCCATGTGGGTACAGGGGCCCAAGCACTTGGGCCATTTCTACTGCTTTCCCAGGCCACAGCAGAGAGCTTGGTTGGAAGAGGGGCAGCTGGGACTAGAACCGGTGCCCATATGGGATGCCAGCACTGCAGGTGGAGGATCAACCTATTGTGCCATGGAGCTGGCAGTACTTTAATTTTAAAGTACTGTTATCAAAATATGCTGCCATCTTCCACTGAGTAATTCATCCTCTACCATATTTATTTAAGAAGATGGATGACTCCTCCCACAAATCGCTCATCCCTCAGACTATAGATACTTGCAGACAGAAATCCAGAAGTAGCACATGTTCTAACATTAGGGGAAGCAGTAAAGCCATAATGACTCAAAGATACCAAAATTTGTAAAAGGGGATGGTATTGTGGCCCAGCTTACAACACTGGCATGCCATATGGGAGTGCCAGTTCCAATACTGGCTGCTCAGCTTCCAGTCCCTTGTTACCATGCCTAGAAGAGCAGCAGGTGGCCCAAGTGCTTGGAGACCGAGGTGGAGTTCCAGGCTCCTGGCTGTGGACTGGCCCAGCCGGGGCCATTGCAGCCACTGGGGGAGTAAACCTGAGGATGGAAGGTCTCTCTTTCTCCCGCACTGTCTCTCTCTCTCTAACTCTGCCTTTCAAATAAATAAATGAATCTTTTACAAATGAAATAAAATTTAGGAAAAGACTAAAAAATAAGCAAGAAAGGACTGTCTGTGTGTGCTAGTAACTTCCCCATTCAGAGAGCACACAGTGGCAAACTGGTCCCAACTTCCACAGGAAGGCAACAGGCACACCCTTTGATCTTATACATTAGAAAGTCAATCACAAAGCTTCTGCCTCCCAGCCAGGGATGTTTTACAGCAGTGACAGGCCTTAACGATCTGATGGCAGTTTCATTCCCTTGGCCGGATTCTGTGCTCAGATGCAAGATGCAGCTTTTCTGGTCTGGAAGAAAGCTGAGCAAGACAAGCATAAACTTCTAATGGCTTTAGGAAATGGGAGGAAAATGATGAGGTGGCCAGAGATACTCCACAAGAACTCATTCCAAAGCCATTGCTGGACAGTGCAGTTGACATGCCATGTGATTCCCACGAGATGTTTTCCTGGCCAGTTGGGCCAGAGTGAGAACACATTTCACCAAGGGCTATAGGACACTCCAGGAATGTAAGCTGCCTGCCAAGCACTGAGTATCAGACCTATACGGCCGCAGCACAGTGCGGAGACCCCAGCTCCACTTACTGGTGTGGAACTTCAGGCACTTGATCATCCTCATTGAGGTTTGGTTTCCTGCTAATATCATGCTAAAAGTAAGAAGGTCTTTGGGCTGTTGTGAGAATTAAATGAATGGTGACCATAAGGTTTATGGTATAGACCCTGACAATTTAGCAGTGTTTAGAATGCTGTTTAGAATGACAGCAAGAAGCTACCAGAAACCAGGATGGGGGGGGGGGGGCATGGCAGAAAGAAGAACAGAAAGAGGGAAGACAAGTATTGGACACTGACATTCCGCCTCAGTAATTTCACATGTTCACAGAAAGGAGAACCTCAGAAAACCGTGTCATTGAAACCCAGACAATGACATTCATCACGTGATGCCACAGGCCTTAAATAAGAATTCTGACAAATCACCACTGTCTTATAGCTGGGATTGAAGGTACTTCCTATTTTGCTTTGAACGTATCACTGAAATCACTGACTCATTATTTGAAATGGATTATCCTTCCCTAAAAGGCCAGTTCTAAAACACCCTAACCTTCTGTAACCTGCACGTTTATACTTCATTAGCTAAAAGGTAAAATTATGTCTATACATGGTAGATTCATACTAGACTCCAAATATGCCATAAAATCTAATATTCTGACTCTGGGAATTAACTTACATTTGGTTAATACCCTCTACTAAATTATCCTTGAAGTTTATCATCTCCAACTCCCTACATGATTTATCATGGTGCTTTTTCACCCATAATTGGCACTCAGTAATAAATGTTTACAGTGTCTATCGATGGCATCTATCAAAAAATTGTAGATACTCATAGACATATTCTAAGGTCCTCATGACTTAAGAGCAAGTAATTTCATTCAAAGCAAAGATTTTGGAAGTTTTGGTTGATGAGATCTTCACATTTGGCAGTGATTAAAGTAGGGACTTTGTTAGCCTCTTATTTTTTTTATTTTTTTACAGGCAGAGTGGACAGGGAGAGAGAGAGAGAGAGAGAGAGAGAGAGAGAGAGAGAGAGAAAGGTCTTCCTTTTGCCGTTGGTTCACCCTCCAATGGCCGCCGCGGCCGGCACACTGTGGCCGGCGCACCGCGCTGATACGAAGGCAGGAGCCAGGTGCTTCTCCTGGTCTCCCATGGGGTGCAGGGCCCAAGGACTTGGGCCATCCTCCACTGCACTCCCTGGCCACAGCAGAGAGCTGGCCCGGAAGAGGGGCAACCGGGACAGAATCCGGCGCCCCGACCGGGACTAGAACCCGGTGTGCTGGCGCTGCAAGGCGGAGGATTAGCCTACTGAGCCGCAGCACCAGCCCGTAGCCTCTTAAAAGTGTTATCTCCTTTAGATAATATAAAATATTTCAGCCCAATGTTATAAATTAATGCTGCAAATTAAATATGATGACTAAGAAAACAAAGCAATGTTAATACTGATGATAATTGCTTTCAAACTACAGTTCAATACTCCTCCCTCTCCAGGGAGTCAGGTGTGGAAACCAACCCAACTCAAGAACCCATACAGGGCCATGTAGAGTCTCTATCAGTGGCATAGCCACATTTGCTACGTCAGGCATTATTATCTTAATATGCATTATTTCATTTAATCCTCATCACAATACTGAGATTATGTAAAGGGGCTTCAAAAAGTTAATGGAAAATGAAATAAAAAACTAAGTCTATTTTGATGCAGAAAATTCTGAAATTTCATGTAGTTGTTTTTTCATAATACATGTTGTCATGAACTTTTTGCAGACCCCTCATATTACTATGCCTGTTTTAAAAGACAAGGAAAATGAGGTTTAGAAAGGATGAGTAAATTCCTCAAAATCTCATCACCCAACTGGAATTCAAAATTCATGCTTTTACCCACAAATTTATAGACAATGCTATAAAAAGCATGGGTGGAAGTACTGTCAAACCTTTCATCTAAATAGAGTTCACTGGAATATACAAAGTTATTTTTATAAAAGGAAACAGAGGGTAAGCTTTGTGTTTACAAAGGGTAATGAGAAATTACATACTGAAATGCCATTCTGATAATTCTAAACCAAATCAGCTAAAACAACATTTCACAGAAAAGGCACCTGGATATCAGTCTGTAAAAGAGATTGCCATCGTAGAAGCACACTTTTATCCCTTACTGTGTGTCCTGTAAAAATACTAACTATGAAATCTCTCATTTCTGCAAGAGTCTAGACAGTGGCAGACACAAGCAACTGAGTGTGACTAATAGATTCTGACAAACAAACACAAACAGGGCCAAAAGGTAAATCGCAAGGCCTGACATTTACTCACCCCCCCAAAAGAAAACCTTCTCACTCCCGGGACTCCAGAGCTAGCTCCCGTGCCCAGCTGCTTCCAGCAAGACCTGGTAGACACGAGGATATTTTTATCCAACTACTTTCCTACAGTCCTTTCGGCCTTTATTTAGAAAGGCAAAATAAAATCCAGAAGTATACTTATAAAGTCATAAGCCATGCACTATAATAGGTAAATAAAAGTCCTTCGAATGAGAAGCCACAAAAGAACAGAAGATTAAAAAGCAAATCATAAACAGCTGCATCTCCCCTCCCGATTGTTTACATTCTTAGACATCCACTTTTTAAAAATATTCCCTATGTAGATCAAAACATGCTGTACTTTGAGAAGGGGAAAACAATGACGCCAGCTTTAAAATATTATACAGTTTACATATAAACAGAGCTAAGTTGGTGCACACTATTCTAGCTGGCAGCAAGCGATCTGAGTGGCTCAACAGAGAGCTATAATTGTGTGTGTTAATTATCACCATCCCCAGAAAAATCTAAAACATATATATAACCTTTCAAATGGTCTCTTTTTTGAGTATATGCTTCCTACTATATATAGTCTAGGATATCAGTGGTTTAACAAATCAAAATAATCCAAAAATCTTTTTAAGCTGAACTTGGGCACTGAAGGCCTGGAGGACACTAGAAGAAATTCCTGGGGGCATTCTGCCGCTGCATCCCCTACTTCTCACATTCTTCTCCCCACAAGTGTTTTCTCTCCCTTAAAACTTTCTCACATTTCACTAGCACTGTCCATAAACACTGCTCAGCTCATTCTTGATACTCAGGTTTAGGAAACTGAGGGGGCCCACTCCAACAACCATTTTTGTAAAAATTCCTTTATCAAAATACTGTTCCAACAAAAAACTACCCCTAAGAACATGGATCTCCCTCTCCCTGTATCTTGCATGTATGAGAGAAAGGAGCAACGTTCTGGTTTGTTGCATATTCAAGCATCAGTAGTTGACAAAAAGGCTTCAAAACACAATGTCCATTCACAAACTTCATGTACTTACTTTCAGTTGTTCCCATGAAAGTGATTACTTCATCCTAAGAATGGTCTGTTTTAATATAAGACAAGCCAGCTTCCACCAGGAGCAGCCAATTAACAGCAATGGTAAGAGAGTCAATAAGTTCAGGCAGATAAAAATTTGGCAGACCTGAATTATCATTAAGAAACCATTTATCTTCTACCCACGTGTCTAAGGTACAAGGCAAGGTGAATCACCAGCTCATCTTAGTGAGAACGTTCTGATGTTAAAATCTGGTATCGCTGACCTCACTGAATCAAAACACATGCTCTATTGTAGGAGCGAAACATCCCTTTGTGGTGAATCACTGTCTCTCAAAACCTCCTGAAGATTATGTACACATAGGAGTCCTGCAACCACAAGGCAAAGTATTGACATGCAAAGAAGTGGCTCCAGTGTTAATGCATGCCCAAGATTTAATGAGGATGAATAAAAGGAAACAATCTAGTTTTTCCTGTAGAATACAAGTAGGGATAGGGTAGGCACTTGGCCTAGTAGTTGATGTCACCTGGGATGCCTGCACCACATATCACAGAGCCTGGGTTCAAATTCCAGCTCTGCTTCCAGCCCAGGTTCCTGCTATTGCGTACTCTGGGAAGCAGCAGGTGATGGCTCAAGTAGTTGGATTCCTGCCATCCATGTAAAGGACATGAATTGAGTTCCAGGCTTCTGGCTTTGGCCTCACTCAGTTACAGCTATTAAGGTCATTTGGGGAGTGCTCTGTCTCTTTCTGTTTCTCTCTGTTTCCATTTCAAATTTTAAAAATTTTAAAAGAATGCAAATAGGGAAGTTTTTTTTTAATCAAGTCATTTATAAATCAACTGTAGTATGTTTTCTCTTTTTTTTTCCTTTTTTTAGATTGATTTATTTATTTGAAATAGTTATACAGAGAAAGAAGGAGGGGGAGAGAGAGAGTGAGAGAGAGAGGTCTTCCATCCACTGGTTCATTCCCCAAATGGCCACAACAGCCAGAGCTGTGCTTATCTGAAGCCAGGAGCCAGGAACTTTTTCCAGGTCTCCCACGTGGGTGCAGGGGCCCAAAGGCTTGGGCCATCTTTTACTGCTTTCTCAGGCCATAGCAGAGAGCTGGGTCAGAAGTGGAGCAGCCGGGACGCGAACCAGCACCCATATGGGATGCCGGTACTGCAGGCAGCGGCTTTACCCACTACGCCACAGCGCCGGCCCCAAGTATGTTTTCTGATGTATTACAATAGCATATGAAGTCATACTCAGTGATGCAATCCACAACTGGAATAGAGTTATAAGGAAAAACAGATTTTTTTCTTTTATAATAGAATGAGAGCTTTGCTTAACATTACACAGATGGCCAAAGAGTTCTATATGTTTCTTTCAACAATGAAGTACAAGTGTACAAAACACAACATATTTGACTGCTTCTAAAGCACTGCAGTTAATGGGTTATGATACGACCCCACAGCACATAACATTTAGCAACACCTGCTCTGCTATAATACGGAGCAGAAAGCTTGAACTGCTAGAGGATTCTTGGTGGCACTGAGTTTGGGTCTTCTTACAGACCCAGTCCTGGGCATGCAGCACACTAGAAGCTCCAAAATGTCTTCTGTAGAACATGAGCTCCATGAGAAATAAGGTTTTGTGGCCAAACACATTTTAAAAATATCGCCCTTTTGACCTCTCCCATCTCATATTAGAGCCTTGGCTATTCGTCTCTTAAACTTATGGTCGGAAATAAGTACTTTTTATGTCATCCTAAGTACTCTAACATCCTTTGAAACACACTTTAGGAAATGCTTCATTAAAATTTGCCCTAAGGAAACATTTCCCCATGAACTTTGTGGTTCAAAACCAGGCTGGTAAAATATTAGACAAAATATATGTAGGCGTAAGTAAAAGAAATGTGTTTTAGGACAGAAATTGATAAAAGTTAACTGGACACAAAAATGCTTCATTTGAAAATGCCGTATTTAGTTTTTAAGATCTACTATAATTGTAGTCAATAAAAGATGCTAATGCATCAAGCATTTATGATTGGGCCTGATACTTATTTGTAAGAAGGATTCTCTGCTTCTCCAATTTTAAGTGAAATGAAAAGGGAGACAGGCAGAGGGAGCAGAGATCATTAAAAAGTAGACAGAGATCTTCCTTCCTAATAAACACAATTTGAACTCAGAAAAATCATACCTCACCTTTCAGGATTCATGTCTGAAAGCTGTTTCATTTCTACTTTCATAGCATTGGTAGATGAATGCCACATAAATGAAATGGCTTGTTACTATTCAAATATTTTAAAAAATACTTGAAGAACTAGAGACAGAAGAATAAATATTACAGTGCTAGAAAACTAACTCTACCATTAGTCTACCATCATGACCAAATACATATGGTGAGTGCTTATAAAAATTTTTAAAAAACACCATAAATGAAAACCCAATGCCATTTTTTCAAAATATAAAGCATAATGTTATATTACTTTTAAGCTTATCTACATTGGGAAAGTGTGAAGTTTGAACATCTAAATGTGAATATTTAGAGTTGGGTTGAAATTTCATCCTTGTTAAGGGGTTAAAATTTGATATGATACAGAAATAATTATAGTGAATCATATTGTTACTTTGATCCCTTCCTTGGTTTCCAAGAGGCTGTGATGATATATAATATTTTCAGAGACATCTTTATGTGCCTAAATTATATGCTGTCAGAATGTGAGAACGAAACATATAGGGCATCATGTTAATAAGAAGAAAGAAAAGGTGGCAATAGAAGGGTAAGGTTAAATGATCTTTTGTAAAATGTAACAATATCACAATTAGCCAGTTAAGACACAGCTCAATCTAAATTCCTAAAATGTCCAAGGAAGTGGAACCTGGGGACTCTACAGACAGATACAGCAATTGCCTTTGAAGATATTTTTGTGAATTCTTTAGCAAAGATGCTCATCAAACAAGGGAGGCTGTAGAATTCTATATTCACTTCTGTTGGTGCTCAGAATACAGCTCAGTATGGCCAATGGAGGATCATGGAAAATAAAAGTCCCCATTTCTGGAGAGTTGGGGGGATTATACATGGCTCAAACACAAACAAAAGTTACAACTAGCATATAATATTCATTAGGTACCCATGTGGTTTTGAAAGACAATTCCAAAAGCTTATTTATGTAAATATGAGATACGGTTGCTAGATTTTTATAATGCCATGTTGCTATGTGGAAAAGTTCTTTCCACAAAGCAAAACATTTTGTCCAGAGAAAAATTTTATGGAGTTTTGTAGCAAACAAACTTCTAAACATAGTTCTTGCATTTAACAAAGGGCAAATAAGTGCTAAATCCCAGAGCCTGAAGTTTCAAGGGTTTTGACATAGCCCCAATGAACCATGGCAGCTGGCAAATGTCCTGAGCCATCAACCACCAAACAGCTGCTGAGGCAGTCACATTCCCAAACTCTGCAGAGCGTCCTATAATATAGCAAATACTAGTATGTAATGAACCTCACATCTTCACAAAAGCTACGTGAAGATCACGTCAGCAAAGAAGAGTTCTAACTAGCAACGTAGACAAATGTTTTTTTTTTTTTTTTTTTTTTGACAGGCAGAGTGGACAGTGAGAGAGAGAGACAGAGAGAAAGACAAATGTTTTGAAACATATTTTTACATAAATGAAAAACAACAAGAAACTTATTTTTTCAAAATCCATGCAAAGACAATAAACAACATTTTTTTTTTTTTAGAATTTTTTAAATGGCATTTCCCTTACAGTAGAGAAAACTCACGGGAATCACAAGTCACAATAAAATGCAAGTATGCCATGAACAAAGAAGTCATGAAACTACTTTGAAATGTTGTCTGCTAGCATTATCTTAGAAGAAGCATATACACTTAAATGAGAAAGAAAAGTCATGTATAGAATAAGCCCACCCTCCAAATAGATCTTTTAATGTATGTGCATAAATTCATTTTTTGATCCCCTAAGATTACAAAATCAATTTTAAAATTAACAATCAATGACTTTACTAAAAGGCTACCTGAAATATTATTCCCATAAAGTCAGCATTAAGAATCTCCTTTCTACTTTTAGGAGAGGGTTGAAAACACCAAATTACTTTATAAAATGTCAACAGAAGGAGATCTCATGGATAGCAAATCTAAATGTGTCCTGTCCACACTTCCCTACAAATACTTGCAGCCGTACTTTTCTTTCCCTCTTAATCTGCTGTGGCTCCATTAGTAAGCCCCTAAAAATGTAACCTGGCATTTACACTCTTGTCCATCTGGAATGTCTCTACGTCAGAGGAAAGCCCTCGCCCCCGCAGAAGATGAACAAGTACACAGCTGATGGAAATCCAAGCACGTATGAGGGCAGCCACTTACATACACACACAGCTAAATGTTTAATCCCTGCACGACCCTCTTCTACTTATTTTCAGATGCTATTAGTGAGAATAAGTTTAAAAAAAACCTGAACTATGTACTATTATCAGACATCAAACAATTCACTGTTGAAAAAATACTGGAAGAACAAAACTTGACAACTTGCCATGGAAACTGTCTGAAGTCCAAGGTACTGTCACTAGAAGCCTTGGAACCATACACGCGTAATGCTAAGGCCCATCTTGTGAAAGTACCATTGTGAAACCTAATCTTACAACTCCGTCCTCGTTGGAGCAGCAGACTCACATATGTGCATTTCAGCAGGGATTGAGGAGTTGCTGAGGTTTTCCACGCTGCTTCCATGAAAACCAATACTTCTAGGTTTCACTGCTGGCTCATGATGCGAAGCTAAACTTAGAAATTGAGCTGGGTTCTGCATCAAGCTGCACCACCCAACTAGTTACGGACAGGAATGTGATTATATAGACAATTTCAACTCCTAACGATTGTTGAAACGATCAAAGCAGACCAGTGAAAGTCAGCTCTCCAAATAATTTAACAACAACGTAATGGCTTTGGAATGCATTTTGGTATTAAATTGGGCTATTGGTGTGACTGAGGTTTTGACGGTACATTGACATGGGTACTATTTACACCAGTATGTATGAAAACAGTACCACCGAGTTGTGCCATGCACATCCCAGGTGACTGCAGGTTTAAGTCATTCATAGCAAATTTTCAAGAGTCCCATCTCAGGAGAAGCTGGAAAAGTATCCACTGTATTCCTTATACTTTTCCATGTAATTCTTGCAGCCACCTTCTCCACTCTGGCCAACTCTCACTCACTGTGAAGAAAGACCAGCCAAGGTTTCAAAAGGCTTCCAAAGAGCTTTCCTGTCCCCATAAAAAAATCCTCAATTGTAGATGATTCGGGTTCTTAAATTTGAACAGAACTAGGATTTTATAGGTATTTAATGATCTCAGAATTTCCCAAACCCCAAATCTGCCTAAGGAAGAGTTGTCTTAGTTATCTACAAACCATGAATTCTGAAATACTCATGACTGTTCTGTGAATGTAATTTGGAAATTTCAGCAGAGACTTAAGTATGGTCATGAATAGTGGGTATGAACAAATCAACACAGCCCTTGCACACCACTGAAGCACTCCAAAAACAAATGAGAAGGCACCCTAAGGTTCAGTTTTCCCCCCAACAAATGACAATCGTTATTTTCCAGAAAAATATACATATGAATTTGCTTTGATGTATGTTATTTAAAGCTTTGCTGTTAGTGAATATAAACACATTCTTTGACCAGTCAAATGTGGTACCTGACTTGGAATCATTGTCTAGAATTCTTTGGGAAGTCATTATATATACTTTATTGTACTGAAAATTCAAGGGATATAGCATATACTTTCTGAGAAATTACTATCTAAATGCATAAAAACATAAAAATGCAAAAAAAGAAAGGCAAATAGAGCAAATCACTATATACTATAAACTTTACCTATCATGGCAATGTTACTGAAGCATCTATAGACATTACATTAAGAGTTTTAACTAGTGAAGAAGTCAGCAAATTTTTCCTATACAGGGCCACATAGTAAATATTTTTGGCTTTGTGGGCTACATATGCTCTCTGTTGCAACAACTCAACTCTGACATGATAGCTCAAAAGCAGCCATAGACAATACATAAAGAAATGATTCTCCAACAGACCTTGACAGAAACAAGTGGCAACTAGATGTAGCCCACAGACTCTGGGTTGCCAGTCCCTGATGTGTCGTGTAACATGAGCAAAACTACACATTACATACTAAATCAGGAAAACAGATCCATAAGGGGCTGCATATAAACATAAAATCAGCACAAAGTAACAACCTACAGATACAAAATAACTTTCCCTTGAAAGGAATTAGGTAAATCAAACAACTGACAAATGATCTGCCAAAGTATAAGTAGGTGTGCATTTGTTTTTTTTTCCAAAATATTTTGACCACCCAGAAGAGAAGGAAAAAACTAACTTCAGAGCAGTTTGGGTCATAATCCTCTTTTAAATTATTTTATAAGAAACACTGCACAATACTCTTCTGAATGGAAACACAAAAGAGGGAAATAGACAAGACTATGCCTCCAAAACAAAGAGGGGAAGATGGCTGGAAGAACTGCAGGGAATGCATTGTGGAGAGCCTAATACACTGGAGGTCTTGTGAGTTTGAATTCATGGATCTCTCAACATTTCCCATACCGTCCTATTTTTGGATCCTTTTTATTCAAATTACTACATTTTTGGGGTTTTTCTTTTTATACCAAGTTGTGGTTTCTACAGTCCTAAAATTATGCAAGATTCTGAGAGTACTGTATTAAGGCTCTCTGGAAAGGCTCCTTTCCACATTTATGACAAGAATATTACAAACAAAAGCCACAAAAAGTGCCATAGATGCCACATCTCCAATCCCGGTGGTTATCCCCTTTGAATGCCAACAAGAAAATGAAATGGGTAACCCAGAGGGCTTGAATTTCAAGGGTATTTTTAAAAAGATACCATCTGCTTTTGTAAAGCAAAACAGAAGCAGAAATAGTTTTCTCCTTTGCTGGTACCAGCAACCCAAAATATTAGATCATCCAATGGCCAAGGTATCAGAATTTTTGTGGTCTTTCTTTTTGGTTTCTTTGCTATCAGCCAAGTTTTATTCCATCTGGAATTATTCACTATCCTTACAATAATTCCGAATCAACTGAAAGGACCCTACATAAATGCTTCATTCACAAAAATCTGGCTTTTGAATCAAACTTCTCTTTAGCAATATCCAAGCCATTCATTCCTTCATTATGATATCTATATCAAATCCCAGGGTATACCATATCCTGCCTAATATGATATACTTTGGGCCAATAATATAGTAGTCAGAGATTCAAACTTGTATCTGTACCATATGGCAGGGCCAGTGCTATGGCACAGTGGGTTAAAGGCCTGGGCTGAAGTGCCGGCATCTCATGTGGGTGCTGGTTCTAGTCCCTGCTACTCCTCTTCCAATCCAGCTCTCTGCTATGGCCTGGAATAGCAGTGGAAGATGGCCCAAATCCTGGATCCCTGCACCCGTGTGGGAGACCCGGAGGAAGCTCCTGGCTCCTGGCTCCTGGCTTCAGATCAGCGCAGCTCTGGCTGTGTGGCCATCTGGGGAGTGAACCAGCGGATGGAAGACCTCTCTCTCTGTCTCTACCTCTCTCTGTAAATTCTGTCTTTCAAATAAATAAAATAAATCTTAAAAAAAATATTGTATGGCAAGTGAACAAATCTCAATCAAATGAAAATCTCTACACACAACTCTGTAATTCCTGCCAAATGATGAAAACTGGTACATGGATAAACTTCACCATACTCCACGAACCATTTCCATTCAATCTGAGAATCAGGTTTTCTAAATAATACTTTGCTTTAGATTTTATTTCCCTAATAAATGTGTGTTCCTTTAGCAATACCTAAGGATCACTAAAGGGGTGGGTCAAAGAATTAGGATTTTGTAAATATGGATTTTTAAATTGCTGTGGGAAGTCTCCTGTAAGCCTGGAACAAATGTCATCGGTCTCAATGAAGACCAGGGAATAAAAGGAGAGGGAATGAATGATGATGACATTACTGATCCTAGAAAAGGAAGTTAAAGTCATCACAGTGATGGTGACCACTACAGCCTCTCTGTGAGGGAATCATAGTACAGTTTATCTCTGCATTGCAGCTGTCAACAGCTCAACTATTTGTGAGCAGATCAGAAGCTGCAGAGCTGCCTAGGTGGTTTTTCTACAAGATCATGTACCATGAGACACTGATGATCTGGTCCCTAAGATATAACACGGTACTAAGATACAGCACTGAGGTAGTATTGATAGGAATGTTGTCAATACCGTACTTTGAATTCTATTGTGCAAACTTCTTTTCCTTGTTATTTCTCTTCAGAGTCAAGAAAATCTGCTTGCACTTCCATTGTCCTCCACCTGAATGACTGCTCTATCTCTCCCAATCTCACACTATAGCTTTACCAATTCATAGTTCTTTCTTGAGAAACAATCTGTTCAAACCTACCCCCTTAGGAAAAATACCATTTAGCTAAACCAAGAATTTTAATTTTAGAATTAAATTTAATTTTAGAATTAAAGATAATGCCTTTAAATGATTACTGCCCAGAAAACAACAAACTCTTAATGAATTACTATTGTCAGCAACCTTCTGCGGAGGGTGCTGTCCGTGCAGACTCCTTCAGGACTAGTCCAATGCCAGTATAAGGGCCAGGGAGAATATCTACTGGGGCCCTATGGAGAACTAACAACTTATTTATGTTTTCTACAAATTGGCTAATGTCACTTTCTGTCCTACTGAGCGCCCATGAGCACAAATGGCTTTTCTTGGGCCCACCAGAGTGAAGTACATTGGTTTCACAATTTGTCTTACTCAACAACTGGCCTCGTAGCTTTGAAGCAATAAGAAACTACAGTTTTTACTTTGCAAAAATTTGTGAGGAAAAGGCAAGGCCTTCCATGACTCTCTTCTGTCACCTCTATAAGAGAAATTTGTGGGATGCTTTCCTCAGCTGGACATAACTGGAACCAGAAAGAGATCACTTTATAAAGAGAAACCATTGAAAACATGAACACAATTTCTATACTAAAATGATATAACTGGGGGCCGGCACTGTGGCACAGTAGGTTAATCCTCCACCTACGGTGCCAGCATCCCATATGGGTGCTGGTTCTAGTCGCAGCTGTTCCTCTTTTGATCCAGCTCTCAGCTATGGCCTGGGAAAGCAGTAGAAGAAGGCCAAAGTGCTTGGGCCCCTGCACCCATGTGGGAGACCTAGAAGAAGCTCCTGGCTCCTGGCTTTGGATCAGCTCAGCTCTGGCCATTGTGGCCATTTGGGGAGTGAACCAGCAGATGGAAGACCTTTCTCTCTGTCTCTCCCTCTCATTGTCTATAACTCTACCTCTCAAATAAATAAAAATCTTTTTAAAAAATTATGTAACTGAAGTTTTATGCTGAAAAACAAGTGACATATGAAAAAGGCTATTTAACCTCATACTTTAAATTTAAATTTTAATTGCCTCTCTGGAAAAGTTTTAGGGTGAAGAACATATAATACGTTCAGTTTGGGGGATTATGTTTCCTTTATGCTCTATCTTTGACTTCTTGGTTTTCGCAGAACATTGTCAAAAGAATCATTTCTACAGAAATATCCGATGACTTTATCAATTTTCTCAAGGCCCCCCTCTTAGTCCTGTAAATTTTTATCATGCACTTTATAAGTATTACAATGCTACAAGTCATTTAGAAATACTATGTCATTATCTTTGTTTCTTCAAAAGTTGACTCATGCCATTCTGCTAGATCCTTGCTTTTGTTTTACTTGTGAAAGAAGCAGTTCTCCTCATGTCACTTTCATCAGCTTCATGAAATCCTGCATATTTTGCAAAATGTACATATCCAACACTGAATAAAACTAATGGAGGAACAGCCACTGGTATTAAGTACAGCAAGATAATAAGCAAGGAGAATATTCGGAAGTGGTTAGTTCACTACTGTTTTTATAACTCTTACTTCCCTACTAAATCCTCACAATTGCAGGAACTCAGATAATGATGATCACTCTCCCAAACCTCCCCCCACCAACACCACCATATGTTGGGATTTGATTTCGTCAATGCACTAGCATGCATGCCTCCATGAATGTGTTGAAGCCAGCTGTCCAGAGTAGTCCCAAACAAGAATGATCACAGAATTAACACCTATGAGCAAATGGCAGAATCAGAAACACTGTTAACGTTAATCCAGCCATTAAAATTTTCTAGGAAGCAAGTAAAAATAAAGTTTTAAAAAAGGCAATAAAAGTCAGAACAAACTCATTCTACCTGATTGGTGCCATATGGTTCCACTGTGGGTTTTAAATGTTACCCCAAAACACTCTGAAACGTAGGTGCAGAGCAGACTAGTATCTGGCATACAAGAAGATTAAAGGATTAAAATGAACTAATACTGTACTTCCTAAAACATACAGGCTTCCACACAGTGCGAGTCAACTGGCAGCCAAGTGTTATCAGCATGGCTAAATTTGGATCTCATAACCTAAAAACCACTTAAGATAAAAAAAGAGTTCTGTAATACATGCAAGTCACAATGAAGGCCAATAAGTTTACAGGTCATGTCAGGTGACTTGGTTTCCAAAACAAAAAGGACCAACTTAAGGGAGATAAAAACTAGGTTAAATTAAGTATAGGTAGAATGTTGTAGGTTTAAAACAAAGATCCTACCTCTGAAGGATATGCCTTAGCTATTCTTTATGGAAGAATTGAGATTTGAACTTAAAGGAACCAGAGCATGCCTTTTTGCAAGGAATATGTCAAGGATCATCACACGGGTGGCCAAGCATCTTGCCAGTCTGCAACTAGGAGTAAACTAATTGCAACACCCAAACAGCCTGATTTGGCCAAGTGGCGTCTCAGGAGTTAGGACAATACACTGCTGCAGCAAGACTAGTGAAACTTCCTTGAGGTACCCTTACAACATGCCTGGGTGATGCTGGATAAGAATCTATGAAAATCCAGGACAAAGGTGGCTTTAGTTACCATCGAAGAGGTCTCTGCTGACTGTATCTGCTGAAAGTGAAGGCATGAGGAGTAACAACTCAATGTCCCTCCAGTAAAAATCTTAGTAGGCTTCGTAGGTCATCCTGGCATCTATGTCAACCTTCTTAATGGGCTTCCAATCACACTTTGAATAAAGCTGAATGTAGTAAGCCCTCCAAGATCTGGCTTTTGCTTATTCTAATCACATCTCCAACTCAGGTCCCTGCTACTGCAGATGCACTAGAACACAAGCCAGAATTCCTCCAGGAAGCTGAAATAATTAGGTCCAAGGAAGAGCAGACAAAAGCAATGTAGGTACTCAATTCTTTATGTAACCATAGAGCCATCTCTGGTCCTGTCCATTCAACCAAACAGTCCATGGAAGGGAGACCCAGAAATGCAGATGTCACTTTAGCCTTCTTAAAGAGTTTCATGGGAGACTTAGAAACTTAAGTTCCATTCAAAAAGCAACAATTTATCAACCTATTATTATAACATTATAATAGTGCAACAAAGCTATCCTTTTTGGGAACAGGGCAGATAACGGAAAAGATTCCCTTAGTCATTATCTCTAGAAAACTTATTATCTATGACTCCAGGAAACAGAGTACATATAAAAAATGAGTCAGAGGCCAATGGAATGGCATCCTAAATTTGACTTTTCTGAATGAACCCAGACTATTCACTGATCATAAGCATACATTCATATGTTAATACATATCACCAATGAATTGCCTTATTACTATATAAGGTACGGCCTTTCAAGTCTTATAAAATGTGGCACCCCGGTTTTACTACTCTCCTGTGTGATAAGCAATTGAGGTGTTGAGAAATCTATTCCTCTCCCAGAAAGTAAATAGGAGTTTCAAAGAAAAAGAGGGGGGAGGGACACTAATAAAACCCTAATATTCATAAATGTCTTTTTTTTAAAAAAAGATTTATTTATTTATTTGAAAGGAAGAGTTACAGAGTGGCAGAGACAGAGAGAGAGAATCTTCCATCTGCTGGTTCACTCCCCAGATGGCCACAACAGCCGGAGCTGTGCCAGTCCGAAGCCAGGAGCCAGGAGCTTCCTCTGGGTCTCCCATGTGGGTGCAGGGGCCCAAGGACTTGGGCCATCTTCTACTGCTTTCCTAGGTCATAGCAGAAGTTGGATTGGAAGTAGAGCAGCTGGGACTCGAACAAGAGCCTATATGGGATGCCAGCACTGTAGGTGGTGGCTTTACTGACTACGCCACAGCACTAGCTCCTCATAAATGCCTTTTTAAAACTGTATGATTAGCATTGGTTAAGACATAGACACAGGCTGTTAATTATCAGTGTTCAGAAATCATTTTTGAGCAGGGCTAATAATCAAACATTCTACATATAAAAGAGGAAATTTCACTTAACAAGCTACCTTTTAAATCTTTTACTTATTCTTATAAATCATGACTTTTTCCTAAACTTTTTTTTGAAAATCTGAATGGCTTCTTGCCTGACAGAATTTTTCAAAACCAATTTCAATACCAATAAATTCAAACTAAATTTGAATGTGGTCTACTTAGCTTCTTTGATAAATTAACGGTCACGTATTTTGTGCATAAACTCCTGTCCCCTGCTTGAGTCTTCCTAAGAATACTTTACACTGTCTGAAATACCATCATCTGTTTATTGTTGGTGTCTCCCACTGCCACATGAGTTCTAGCAGGACAGAGTACAAGTCTTACCTCCAGCACCCAAAACACTGCCTGGGAATATAAATAACTGCAGTACAAATGGATGCATACCTAACTCCATGATACACTGTGGATGGATGGACATATATAAAGTAAATAAAGCATTAAAGACATGTACATATGTATGGCCTATATGATTGGAAAGCACTAAGCTGGAAGTAGAACATGAGAGTTTGGTTTTGGTTTTTGGGATTTTTTTTCTGATTCTACCATGAAACAGCTATATTGTCTTGAACAAGTTACTTAAACTTTCAGTTAATGAAGCCATTTACCTGTAGAAAGAACATTTTGAGTTTATTACCTTTCAGAACACTTGCAGCTCTAATAACAAGAAACACACACAACTTGTATAATCCTCTCTATGAGAAGAACAAAATCACAAAACAACTACAGTTCTAACTCCTGATCCCTGGGCAATTATAAACCATTAACTATGGTCAAGGGCTATCTGTAGAACTGTTCGACACATCCACCCCTTTTTAATCTACCCTTTGTTCTCTACCTTTTCTATTGCCGTTTTCTTTGAAGGGTGCAGTCAAATGTTCTTAGACAATTTTAGAATAGAAATGAGCCCAGTGAGCCATGGGGTAACTGGCTAACACCACTTACGTCATCACAGGAAAAGGGGACCCGAACTTCTCAGCATCTGTATTGTACCCTATCATTATTACCCCTCCCCAAAACCTTCTGATCTTGACAAACACAAGCTCAGACCAAAAAAATGAACTCACTCTTAAATGCCTGATCTGCCCCATGAAAGTAGGGTAACCTCTAACATCACAATGAGCACAGGCAACACTACCAAAGTTCTTCTATAACAGTGAGATGTTAGAAACACCAGGAGGAGAGTTAGCTCATTCTCTGTCTTCAAAGGTTTCTTTCATTGAGACAAGTAGTGTGCCTCATTTAGATTCTGTAACCAGCCTCAAAGAGCTGATCTAGTTTGTTTACTAAGTGAGCAAACAGGTGAGTCACACTGTTGGCTTTCATCAATCTCCCCATCTCTTCAAGATGGTTGTCCCTCTGCTTGGAACAGCATTGCCACAGAAGATTGAGAGTAAAAAAGTACAGATATTTATCAACAAGAATTTTGTAGAAGAAAACACTCAGTGCTACCCAGTAATACTTTCATTTTCCATATTTAGTGTATAATTAAATCCACAGGAACTATAAAATGCATGGGCACGCCTCCTTTAAAAAATTTAATAAATGTATTTCAGCCTTTAATCCTGATTTATACCTATGGCTTGTAAAATAATTTAGCCCACGTGTAGAACTTTGTTTTTCCTATGCCAAGTTAATAAATGCAACCCAGTTTCCTAGAATTTGACAGTACAACATGCTCATACTCCATGAACTAGAGTCAACATTGATGCATCTTTTCAGGCATTCAATCATAATACACTCTTGCAGCCAGGAAATGTAGGAAGGTGACTCAATTTGAAAAATATTTTTAATAAGGAAGGAACATAAACCAAAAGCACCCTTGTGCTCTAAGGGTGAAAGGAGAGTTGGTGGGATGTAACTCAACCCACTACAAACCCTAGGCTTGAAAGACAATTCAGTTTACAGCTGCACATTCCTATATGCTATCATTTGATCCTTATAAGACAGACTGGAGAAGCATGACTACTTCCCTCTGGTTTTATAAACCAGAACATGAAGTCAAAGAATGACAAGTCTCAGGAGGTGGCAGAAACAGGAATAAAAACTCACATCCCCTGTTTTCTTGTCCATTCTGTCATGGTTCTATTCTGCCATTAAACCCTTCACTGGACTGTCAACCAAGTCTCTTGCATTACAAAACTTACAGAATCAATACTACCTACACATAATAGATATAGCCAACGAATGAGTGAACTGTAGTGTACCATTTTTCTCTTCGCCACACAAATACTATGAGTAGTAGGAAATGAAAGGGTCTTATTGCCAAAGAAAAAAATGATGCTAGTGAATTTTCTACCCTCCCCCTGCCAACACCCCACCCCCTTTTTTATTCCCTAATCCTCTTAAAAGATGATTACAAGAAAAGAAATCTTGGGATCAGGAAAGCAGAACTGAAACCTAAAGCTTATCATACTGATAAGGATACTTAGGCAGGAAGCAATAAGTTACCACTGCTTCCTGTTTTAAGTATTCTTATCGGCAGGACACTAAATTGTTTTCACCACAGAACCTCACATTTAGGACACTTCCCAGAATAGCATCTTGTGATCTTCAGCTGTCAGCTGAAGTTGTTTCATAAATAGCCCAGCATATGTACGCTGAAGGGTTAGTGGCACTCAACTGTAAATATAGTCCAACAATACCAATCCCTCCTTGACTCTGCTGACAGTATGGAATGTGCACAATCAAGCGGTCACAGAAATTCAGTAGATGAAACCATAAATGTCTGTAGCTAATGACCTATAGAACTCTCCTTGGACTATTGCTGCAAACAGTGAAGTAAAGGCCATGAGCAGATACGCAAGTTTATTCCTATTTTTAGTATGCAGTTCACAAAGGAACATATGATTTGTTTGAGGTCAGTTAATATTTAAACAGTTTTGAAAGCAACCTTGATGCAGAGATTCATTTCGATGAAATGGATGTGTTTGCAGAAACTTCTGGGTTCTCTTTTCAAACAAGTTTTCTGGAAGCTTTCATAGTCAACAAGTACAGACAGCAAAACTGATTATAAGGGAACGTGTTTGAAAAATTACACATGTAACTCAAGGTGAGATATATAGAGAACACACACATACACAGGTAAAATGATGCCAAGCCATAATCTGTATGATCTAGTATGTCAGGAATTTTACTGCCAGAATTATACAACAAGCCAAGACAATTTCAGAGGGGAGAGAGAGAGAGATGTCTGCTTTTTTAAATAGAAAGAAGACATGCAATAGGACTAGAGAGAACTGATGGCTTAAATTTTACTGTTTTCTTTCATGTCCCAGGATTTGAACAAAACACATACATCTTTGTGGCCTGCTTTCCCTCCCAAAGCATATCTGAGCCAGGAGAAGTAGAGAAGGGGTTTTGCTTTGGTTCATGGCAGCAACCCCAGGAGGGTAGCCTTAAAGTTACCTAACAATTCCCTGCACCCCAGCAAGGAAAGCCCTGCCTCAAACTACAGATCCAAATGGGGATGAAGCTTGGGCCACCTTGTAGGAACCACTCTGTGCCCAGAGCAGGCAGGAGTGTTTGGCCAATGCCAGATTCCTGCTGGATGTCCAGAATAGATGATGACCAAGCTCAAAGGAACTTGATTAACTTGATTCCCTGAGGCCTGGGAGTCCATTTTGGTAGGAAAGAATGAGAATGCTATAAATATCTATACTAAGTCAAAAATTACAGCATATTTAAAAATTTTTCATTTATTTCTTTTCATATAAGGTATGAGAAACTGATACAGCTGAGAGAAACCTGCAGAGACATGGTAACTAAAGGTAATGTGGTATCCTGGATAGGACTCTAGACTAGGGGAGGGAGGACGTTAGGGGGAAACCGAGGGAGCCTGAATTAAGCATGGACTTTAGTTAATCATATTGTGTCATACTGGTTCATTAATCATGACACAGGTTCTACACTACTTCAAGATGTTAATAGTAGAAGAAAATGGGACTGAGTACAAGGTAACTCTCTGTACTGTCTTTGCATGGATACTGTAAATCTGACATTCTTCTAAAATAAAAAGTGCATTTTTAAAATGCTACTCAGTTAAAAATGAGTGATAAGATAAATTTAGGCAATAATATAAATATGTGTGTATTCTGCTTTCCAAGTGATTTTCAAAGATCTTTAAATTTCCTGGCCATTTAAAATATACAAATTGCACATTGTATTTAATGAATTATTATTTTAATAAGAGTTGGATGATATATAATTTATTTCAGAGGAAACTGACCCTATAATTAAATTTCAGCCAATGAATATATTTGAAACTCAGAAAGTCATATTTAGTTTAATTAGCACAGTCTGATAATTACAAATGTTTATAATTTGCTGCTTATATATAATTTCTTCTAGGAATTTCTGAAAATTCATTTTTAATTTTGTTTCCTCTTTTAGCAAACTGAATGTAACATACTGAGGTTGTTTGATTTGCCATTTTATCTCCTGCATATTTAAATGTGTTCCATGTCCTATTTTTGTTTTTAGAGCTTTATAGTACCTTATTACAGTAGATTTTTAATTTATTTATTTATTTTCAATTTTATTTAAAAGGGAGAAAGACAGAGATCTTCAATCCAGTGATTCACTCTCCTGAAATGCTTATAACAGCCAGGGTTCAGCGAAGCCAACGCCAAAAGCCTAGAACTCAATCTGGGTCTCGCACATGTAGTAGGCCACCCAAGCACTTGAGCCATCATTTGCTTCTCCCATAGCATGCATTAGCAGGAAGCTGTGTCAGAAGTGGAGCAGGGACTTGAATCTAGACACTCTGATATGGAATGTGGGTGTCCTAGGCCATGACTTAACTACCCCAATGCAGTAGTGTCATTTTTTCAAAAAAGGCTTGAGGACTATCAGTTGTCACCACTACTAAATTCACAATAAGGGAAATGTCCTCACCTTAGATCAAAGGATTTGTGTTAGCCATAGAGGAACTGCCTCACTGTAAATTTGTGGAATTTCTTCCTGTGATGTACACATTTAACAAGAATATGCCTGAAGATTCTTACTTGTGAAACACACAGTAACGTGAAAATAAAAGTTTGTATATAAGAACAGCTTCAAGATATTAATTTTGCCTTTCATTTTGTACAAGGAATAAGCATATTACTGAATACTTTCCTAACAAAATTTTCAAATATAATTCTTGGAAAGGATTACTTTATACACATTACTAGTTTTGCCTAATAGTCTTGAAAGAAGAACTCTTAATAATACCCAGCAAAAATGACTAATATCCAAAGCTGCAACATAAGCTACGGTTCATGATACCCACACATACATGGGCCAATGCATTTATGGTCACATTTGTGAACAGCCTTTTCAGGGATTCCAGGAGATACTCAATACTCCTAGCACCCTTTCTCCTACTCCTGGTGACCCCTGTTCCCAATCCTGACTTTCACATAAGATAATCTCTCCCAAGCAGACCACGTCAACTTCAACTCTTACTTCCTTTTCTTTTACATTTTGACCTATTATATCAGAAATACCTGACTTTGCTTCATTTGTGAGTCACAAGGTAGCTTTAGTCATGACTAATAAAGCCACAAGGAGTGCCAGTGATGTACTTTCATCCAAACAGGAGGAGATCATGCATTTTTTAGTAAACTCAGACATATACATCACTGCTGGCAACCTTTAAGTCCACAAAGTGGGCAAGGAGTCCTTGCTACTTCACTCAGTGGTTCTCATTTGTTCCCTGACAAAGCTGGTTCTTTATAGTCTTCCCACTTAACCAAACCTCAAGAAAGGAAGTTCTAAGTGGTGTTGAATTTTTATCTGTTTTCTTTTTACTTGCAACTCAAGAATTTGAGAATATACCTGGTATTCAGTAGAAACTCACTAGCTCCCTGTAGCATTAACTAATCATAGCATTCCTGTCTGATCTACAAACATTTTAGATTCAGAATTTGCTACCATGATCTTCATAACCAGTTATGATTCTTCCAACCTCCACATTCAGCAATTAAAACAATTCAATGGTGTGATGAATGGGAAAAACTGAGATACTATTCAATACCTACCAAGTATCACACAGTCACACAGTGCTAATATACTTTATCACGGTTCTGGTCTGTGGTAAATGAAGTGCTGGTACATTTCCCATACTGTACTTTAAGAACATATGGCCCAGGAGTGAGCCCTGTGGTAAGCAGGTTAAGCCACCACTTAAGACACCCAAATTGCAAGTAAGAGTGCCTGGGATTGACTCGCTTCCAGTTCCTAATCATCCTCCTGCTAATACATATGGTAGGCAACAGATGATGGCCCAAGTACTTGGGTTCCTGCCAGCCACATGGGAGACCTGGATAAACTTCTTAGCTCCTGGCTTTGACTTGGCCCAAGGGTGGCTATTGTGGGCATTTGGGGAGTGAACCAGCAGATGGAAGATACATCTCTCTCTCTCTCCTCTCCGGGTCACTCTGCCTTTCAAAAACAAATAAAACTAAACATATGGCCCAAGTGTTTTTCTATATGTAAAACCACTTGGGGGGCCGGTCGCTGTGGCATAGTGGGTAAAGCCATTGCCTGCAGTGCCAGCATCCCATATGGGCGCCAGTTCAAGTCCTGGCTGCTCCACTTTTGTCCAGCTCTCTGCTACAGCCTGTGAAAGCAGTAGAAGATGGCCCAAATCCTTGGGGCCCTGCACCCACATGGGAAGACCCGGATGAGGCTCCTGGCTCCTGGCTTCAGATTGGTGCAGCTCCAGCTATTGTGGCCATCTGGGGAGTGAACCAACAGTTGGAAGACCTCTCTATCTGCCTCTCCTCTCTCTGTGTAACTCTGACTTTCAAATAAATAAATAAATCTTAAAAAAAAAAAATACTTGGATCCTAACTTTTAGTTTAATATTGAAATGTCAAGAATAGCTCTACTATCTGACAAATGCACTTTCTATTATTTGGTCATCCCTCTGGCCCAGCCTCAATCAAGCCTGTAAAATAAAGTCAGAGAAGGCAGGAGAAAAATCTGAACTTTTAGCAATAGACCAAGGTACCATTTTAGCAGAGTACCAATAAGTACCACACTGGCAAAACTGGCTCATTTAAATTTAATTCCTTTTCCAGACTTTTCCCATATACTTTAGTAGAAGGGCTAATTAGCAACAAAATACCCAAGAGGAGAAAAAGGAATGAGCAGAGAGACATTCTGGTGGGGAGGTCTATGAATCACAAACTTAATAACTGGCCTCTTTTTAAAAATAGAGGTAACTATGATATAATAGTTATTTTTCAAATAATTTTCTCATTGCTTTTGATATCTTAAACCTCAGTGAAAATGCTGTGCTATGACCTAGATCAGTAAGCTACAATTAACATCAGAAGAACTACATTAATAGAGTAAAAGTTGATGAGCTACTGTTGAAAGCAAAGAAATAAATCTTGTCAAAACAAAGCAACGTTCCTGTCAATCTTCAAAAGAATGGTTTAGGGGAACAGAGGGAGTATCCAAGACTTTAAGGTATGCTGGGATTTCAGACACACAAATGATGAAGTTGTCATTAATTTTATCCAAGTTTTTGTATCTAGTCATACAAGATTACAGGACTTGTGTAATCATGTTTGACTACTTTTAATATATCTGACATTATTAAGTATGACTTTAACTTTTAAAATATTTGATGAAGAAAATGATAAGAGGTCCTCAAAATGTATCCCCAGTATTGTTTATGTTTGGGATTTTCCTAAAGTCATCCTTGATTCAAGGACTCTGCCATGAACTGTTGATAAACATGTTTTCAATTTGGCAAGTGTTTCTTGAACACCAACTGGGATAATGGCTCACAAGTTTTTGGGAGAGTGGGCCATGAAACCTGCACCTATGGGGAGGACAGGGGTTTCCATCCTCCTTAAGGAAAGGGTAAACCTTCTGAAAGATAGGCCGGATCCTAGATAAACTGCAGCCCAGCTAATAAAATACTTCAGGTGTTGTCCTTGGCAGTTTTCATCTCCGTATTTTACATTGTAAATATAATTTTACTTATGTATGCTGGAAATTCATTCAGAACCCTTTTAGAGCTGAGAGCTCCTCTTAATTACCTTCTGTCACTATTTTCAAAAATAGCATTCTCCATGCCACAAAAAAGAAGAGGGGGAAAAATCCCCCGAAAATTCTTATCTAGTGAGCAGCAGTAAATCCTATCAGTAGGGGTGGGGAGGGAATAGGGGCCTCTTCTTAGAGAAGACATTAATTAAAAATCCACCTAAAAGGAGCCAGTGAATTAGATCGAATTGGGTGGCATGGGTTTTTGTTGTGTACTTGATAATGCAAAGACGCTTTCCAAGAGCCCATCTAATACAGCCTGGTGGGAAGCAGGCTTTGAAGGCACAATAACATTCTTCAGGCGACTTTCAAGCTGGAGGCTAAAAGCACCAGCCATTCATTTTTCCGTCTTGAGACACATTCTTCACTCAGTTCAAAGGCTCAGAAACAACAAGCCCGCACACTTTCTGAAGGTTGTCCCTTGTAGGGACTTGTGAGGGACCAAAGGCTTAGGCTGCAAAACATTTTTAAAGGCCTAGTTTTAGGAATGTAACCTTTCTTTTTATTGGACTGTAGTTTCCACCCCCTAACCCTCCTCCCTAGCACCAAACACACACACACAGTATTCTCATAAGGGAAAATTTAGGCAAAACAGAAAAGTTTTCACTATACCCTCAATAAGTTTCAGGGTATCCTATGAGTGGAAGTAAAAGTACTTCAGAAATTAACTCATTACCCATTCTTAAAAAAAAGTGTAATATGTATATTCCTTAATCTAACCAGAGGGAATGGGATCAGCTTTGAAAGGAAGTTATTGTTTAGCTGTGGTTCAAAGAGTGAGCTGGAATTGGGAAGGGGGGCAGATGGGTGAGTGAGGGGTGGGAAAGAGGACCGCATGCAACTGCCGAGATCAAACATCAACACCACTGCTCAACTCACTTTGTATAAAACTTCGGGGCTCTCCTTCCCTACCTCTCCCCATCTTTCATACAGTGTCCCATTTTGTTTTATGCTGTAACCACAAGAACATTTAAAGCATTTGACATTCTGGGAAAAGAAAAGTGTAATGGGGCCAGCACTGTGGAGCAGTAGGTTAAACTGCTGCTTGTGAAAATGGCAAGAAAAGAAAAGAAAAGAAACTATCAACTCCCAACTTGACTCTCACTGGGATTAAACATGACAATAGGTCTGATCTGATTTCATCATCATAAAAAAAAATCATCTATTATTTTTCACTTTATGTTTCTGTGTGGGAGCAAACTGTTGAAATCCTTACTTAATGTATACTAAGCTGATCTTCTGTATATTAAGATAATCGAAAATGAATCTTGATGTGAATGGAAGGGGAGAGGGAGTGGGAAAGGGGAGGGATGTGGGTGGGACGGTATGCGGGGGAAGCCATAGTAATCCATTATTCGTACTTTGGAAACGTATATTCATTAAATAAAAGTTAAAAAAAAAAAAAAAAAAAAAAAAAGAAAATGGCATCCCAAACCCTAATGCTGGTTCAAGTCCTGGCTGCTCTGCTTCTGATCCAGCTCCCTACTAACGTGCCTAGGAAGGGAGCTCAAGCACTTGGGCCCCTGCCACACATGTGGGAGACCCAGATGGAGCCCCTGGTTCCTGGCTTCAGCCTGGGTCAGTGCTGGCCGTTTGCAATCATTTGGGGAGTGAATCAGAGGATGGGAGATCTTTCTTTCTCTGTCTCTCCCTCTCTGTCTCTGTCACTCTGCCTTTCAAATAAATAAATAAATCTTTTTTTTTTTTAATGTAAATACTGGCTGAGAGAGCTGCATAAAGAGCTAACAAGAGAACTGCCTGTTTTTGATTTGAATTGGATGTTGCAAACCAGTGGTGTTTATTTCCAATAATTAGCAACTGGGTGGAAAAAAGTTTCACTGGTGAAGTGCTGATGAGAAGGTGTGGCCTGGCTCTGGGTTCCCCTCCATATCTCCCCTGGTCCCAGCCCTATGTAAGGCCAAGGATGGTTGAAGAGTGTAATCCTGTGGTCCAGGACACAGCAGAAGTCTCAGCCAACAACAATGGCACTAAAAATAAAGACAACCTTGGCTGCTACTACCAGCCTCAATAGTCATCGCTTCATGTTTTACCTCAAGGTGGGCTTCACTCATCCAATAAGAGGCATTCTCAAGAGGGAAATCTAACTCTTAAAAAGACATCTTCCCAAGACCTGAGTGGGTCCACAGTGCACAAAACATGGGATATAAAATTATTTGTCTTCCTTTTATAAATCTGAATGATAGAATTACATTATTTACTATTTTCTCAAACTTTCTGCCTCTAGCCTTAAAGTGGTTCCCATTATTTCACATCATAAGACCTTGCTCTTCTTTTTCCTCCTACCATGTTTTGCAATAATATGATTTCTTGCTCATGCTTTCCTCCCTTACAAAGTGACATAAAGACAAAAACACTTTGATTTCAGTCTCCACAGCCTGGCTCACACAATATGAACTCCAAGAGATTTATTTAAGGGAATATTAGTGTCCATGTTTTTCAAAAAAAAAAAAAAAAAACTAAAATGGAAGAAATGATAGTATCCCAATTTGAAGGCAATCACTGTATTTCACCCAAAACTAGGACTATTAATTATAAACATCTAAGAATGATTTTTTTAACATGCAACTGACAAATGTTTGGTAATGACAAAAATAACTGCATTTATAAATGCATTTATATATTGCAGTAAATCAGAAAAAGTGTTTTTATCCCACCAAGATTGGTATCTATTTTTTACTCCTTGAAATGGACACAGCTATGTGAATCATTTTAAGCAGTGAGATATCTGCAAATGTGATGTAAGTAGAGATTCAAAAAGCAAAACTTTTGCACTCACTGCTTCCTCTCTCTTGTTGCTGAAACTCATCCAAAACCATGTGAAAGGTGGTCTAGCCTGCTGGGAACATATGGCTCAGTCAATAACAAGTTCTAACTGGCAGGTAGCATCATCCACTAGCTGTGTGAGGAAAGGCATCCTAGACAACCTGTCTCCAGCTAACCCTACAGCTGACTATAATCAGATAAATTTTCTCAGATAAAACAAGCAGAAGAACCACCCAACTGAACACAACCCAAATCCACTCAGCCATAGAATTATAATTTAATACATGCTGGATGCTGTAAAGCACTTAGTTTGGGGTTGGTATTTTACACTTCAAAAATTAATAGATAAACCTCAGAACCTAGATACTGCAGCTCATATATAAAATGCTTTTTTAAAAAAATTCCTTTACATTGAGGGTTTTTGTTCCTCCTTACTCTAGATGATTTGGAGGAAAATCAATACTACAGATATTAGCATACTCTTATTGTCAAGTCACCAAAAATAAGCAAACACTGGTCATTCTAATTTAAATGTTTATGTTATGGTTCTTGAAACTTTCTGTTTTAGAGGAAACACTACCCTAGTCCATTTGTACTCTTCCTGGAACACACTCAGCAAGAAAATAGAGCATCAGTCATGAATGTAGCTGGCCATTAAAAATGTCCCTCTTTGTTTCAAAACAGAAATTGCCCCATCAATACACCCATTTCCTAAGGAAACATGATAGATTCTCTAAATTCTACTATTGTATAGTGTCAGTAATTTTGGAGAAAATGGGTGACATTATGGAATTTCCTTATTTATATACAAACTTTTGTCTAAAATAAACTACTAGCAGTATTTGAAATGGAGAAAGATTATTCCAGTTAAAAACTAAATCCTGGGCCGGGTGCCGTGGCTCACTTGGCTAATCCTCCGCCTACAGCGCTGGCATCCCCTATGGGTGCCGGGTTCTAGTCCCGGTTGCTCCTCTTCCAGTCCAGCTCTCTGCTGTGGCCCAGGAAGGCAGTGGAGGATGGCCCAAGTGCTTGGGCCCTGCACCCGCGTGGCTCCTGGTTCAGATCAGCACAGCACTGGCCGTAGCGGCCACTTGGGGGGTGAACCAATGGAAGGAAGACCTTTCTCTCTCTCTCTTTCTCTCTCTCTCTCTCTCTGTAACTCTACCTGTCAAAAAAATAAATTAAAAAAAAAAAAAACTAATTCCTTTGAGCACACAAAAATAAAAGATCTTACTGCCCAGAGAGTCTTCAAACAGAGACTTTACCTATTTTTTTTTTAATTTATGTAATCCTACTACATTAAATTAAGAACTAGTCAGTCAGCTGGGGCTGGGGGAAAGGCCTGAGTACTACCATGAAAGTGAACAGAAGAAGATAGTGAAGATTTAGAATGGTATTGTTTGAAACTTTTAATAAGCTTCTCTTCTTAATTTGCACAAATACTTGGAAGTTGAAAATATAGATAATTTCTCAACCAATGTTTTCCCCCTTCACTAGATTAATCACTGGAAACTTTTAAAACCTGAGGATTTGAAAGAGGAATAGAACTTTAAGTGAAAAAGCACTGTCTGTTGTACAATGTATTTTGTCTGCTCTGCTACTTCAGTTCTGAAATTTGGGATCTGAGTATATTATTCCATAGAAGACTGTGAATAGTTGAGCCTTTAACCAACTTTCTATTACTAAACTTCAAAATTTATGAGCAGCCCATTTCTGGAAAGATAAACAATAACCCACTAATGATGATGGGCTATGAGAAGAGAGACTAAAGGATAACAATAGGAAATCCCCTATTTTTCACTCAATCTCTTTGTGTCTTTATAAACACTTGAAAATTATATCATGTGCATACATTGCCTATATCAAAAAAATAAAGAAAAAAACAACATAGACACAGCCAGAAAGCTCTAATAAAACCTGGTGGTCTAAACAAAGGCTGCTTTTAATATTTTGAAAAAAGTCTATTATACACTTAAAAACCACTACAACTGCACATCAGTTAATATATATATAGAGAGAGAGAACTTAAGAGGGGCAATGACAAAAATCTCCTTTAAGAATCATACTTCAACCCAGAGGCAAGTACAGTTCAAAAGGTTAAAGCCTTTCATGACTAAAAATAAAAACTGAAACTGGTGACTGGTGCAGCAGTTAAGACACCACTTGGGATGCCAATACCCCATATGTGACAGTCAAGGTTCAAACTGGGGCTCCACTCCCAATTCCAGCTTCCTGGGAGGCAGCAGTTGATAACTCAGATAATTGGGTCCCTGCCACACATGTGGGAGACCTGGATTGAGTTCTTGGTTCCTGGCTTCCACAGCACCAGCTGTTATGAGCATTTGGGAGTGAACTAGTGAATGCAATTCTCTCTCTCTAGTCTTTCAAATAAACAAACCACTCACCCAAAAGGGGAAAATGGGACCCTTGAATAATAAACCTAAACCCAAAAGAAACGATTTCAAAATTTCTTTTGGAGACCCCACTCTCATCCTACTTTTTCTAATACTGATGAACCCATAATAATTTCACATTCAATCCCCATTCCTCTTCTAGCTGCTTCACTTGAACTAAAGATCAAAAGCAAAGATATCTTCTTCTTGCTTCTTGCCAATGTTATGTTTGCTAGTTTAATATCTGGAAATGGGTCTTTCTTCTAAATGATATTTTCAAAAAAACCTATCAATAATTGGTATGCTGGTGTTGTCATGCAAGATGTCTTCGTTAAAATGAGTAAGAAAAGCACAAAATCTTAAGATAGCTTGGCACTTTTGCCCTATACTTTTGTAGAAAACTCCAACTTTCATATATGTTTCAGATCTTGATTTTTATCTTTTTCTCAGATAGATTGTGTCATAAGAAACTTGACAAATACTTGGTGATGTTCCCATACTCCCATTTTTTTCCTTTATTTCCATGTATCTACTCATTCTCTTTCAACAAAACATATACTACTTGGAACATAATATGTGATCAAATATGTTTCCTGAGGTAAAGGGGGGGTGAGGAAAAATACAATAGTGGTTCCGAGGGTAGACAATTCATGTTGGGTTTGGGAGCTGGGTAATCTCTAATACTGCACTGGAGTCACTAATCTTCTGATTATTTCAACAACCCCTAAAGTTCAAGGGTAAATATGATTATTTTATGAGCCTTGCAAACAGTTTTAAGGGACCACAGAAGTGATCAAAGAAGATCACTGAATGACAGCAGACTACATAGGAACAAAATATTCTAGACTTTCAAGTAAGTACTAACTGTAAATTTTTTAAAACTATTTAAATTTTGCCTGTCTCATTTAGATACTATCCTTTCTAAAAGCAAGAATCATGATTTTCTGTGCAAAGTATACTTTGTTGGCCACACTATATACACTTGAAAAAATAATGCTACTTTGAGCATTTCCATAAACATAATACAACTATGAACTTCTCAAAATTATGTGATCCTGTTCAGCAACATGACCTAAATATGTCAGGGAGGATCAGAGAATTCACATCAAAGTACTTTTTGGTCAACAGAAAAAAGGATAGAATTCATATGTAACATGTAATAAAACAAACAACACGCATAGAAGGGCAAAAGAAACTCAGTGAATGCAACTCAGCTTACTCAGTAAAGCATTTAGGGCAAGGTAATAAAACCCCCACATCTCCTCTCTGTTTAAACAAATACAACCAAAACTGCAGTCTGACCCACATATTCAACTCCATTACCACCATGAATGAAAACGCAGAAAAGGGGTTGAAAAAAGAAAAGTAGCCTTTTCAACATAAACACATCACTTTTAAAAGCTCTGTTATTCAAAGAGCACTGACTCATTCAGGAAGCACAAATAACATTTATCCAGCCAAATGTATTTCAACCAATAGATTATAGCAGAGCCTGCAGCAAGAATGTTATTAAAACAGAGAATGTTCTTTTCACCATGGATGACAGTATCTTACATTTACCTAATCCATCTTCCTCCTTTCTCTGTGAATTAAAAATGGGAGAGATACTGCCATTTCCATAAGGTAAAGATAAGAATAGAAGCCAACAGATAATACTTACTAGCCTATCATTTATACATCCCTTACAATAACTCTTAGTAACTATTTCATATTAGTTTGAAATTAGTATATTATGACTATACCATACCAATATTAAAACATAATTCTGTTTAATTAAAATTCAATATGATTACCATTCTGACCATGTTTTAATAACATTTTTAAAGCCTTTTAAAGTCTGTCACATAGCTATACACTCACAAGGTAATGAAATAATAAATCAACTACATAATTATAAACCTTACATGCAAAAAAGCATTAGGATAACAAAAGTAATGAAATTCACAAGGAGATACACATATTTTCCTTGAATACAATTTCCAGTAACTCTCTAACATGAGGAAATAATTGAGGAAATGGCTTTCTTTAAAACCAGACCAAACCTTAAGATTGCGAAGCATTCCATTATACTCAATTACTAACCCACCAAATAAAAGGAACTCTTTATATGCTATTCAGCTAAGAAATCTGACTATACTAGGCAGACTGGAAAAGAGAAAGTCAGTGGAGTTCTGAATGAAAAAGTTCACACACTTTTCTAATGATGTATGAAATTCACACAGAGGTGGGAAAAGTGTGAAGCTTCTGAATACACTGGCAATTCAACAGCCAAAGTGACACTGAAGCAAAACAGCTCAAGGAACCAATCAAAAATCCTAAAGCACAAAAAGCTGTACAACACTAAGTTTGCCAGCAAGTGATATATGAAGCTACTTCACCCATCTAGTAGGGAAAAATAAAACTAAACCAAAAATCATGTAAGACATCCTCTAGTCCCTAGTTGGCTTCTCAGATTTCCTTTCCATTAAGCAGATACCTCACTGGAGAATTCTGGCCTTACAAATGAGAGACATTATCCATTCACAGACCACCCACATGAAGGAGTGAATTCTAATACAGTAAACATAGAAGAGTGTCAGGGACATGCACTGGTTAAAGCTTCATCTATTCTGCGGTTTTGGGATGCTTCTGACGGTGGCCCATGGGATGCTGGAATGAGCAGGTGACTTGCATTCCCACATACCTTTTATTTTTAAAAAGTGAGGAATAGAGAGTGAGTCTAGATGTTTCCAAAAACAGATAGGTGAAGTCAGGAAGGTTTGTCTTCGGGTCTGTTAAAACTAAAGTCCCCTCCAAATAGGAAAGTTTGAAATCATGCTTGAACCAAACAGACCATTTCCCTACCAGACCCCAGTCTGGCCATGAACAGTGTCTGATCCAACGGCTAGAACAGGACAAAACAGGATATTCCAATGCAGTTTTACTAAGCCCTGTCAAGAGCTTCTTCAGAAAGAATCCTCATTACAACTGACCCATTAAAGAATATCTGTCATGTTCTCCAAAACATTCCTAAGTTTAGAGCTGCAAAGGAGGTTAGAACAATTGAGAACAAAGCTCTCAAGTTACTGATGAGGAAATAGGTCCAGGGAAATTAAGTGACTCACCCAAGGTCACTGAGCTGGGGAAGGGCACAGGCTGTGTTAGAACCCAAGCTCTCTGGCTCCCAGGCCTTGCCTTTTCCATTGCATCATTCAAGATAGCACAAAGCTATTTTCCAGGAATTTTGATAAACACCCATCCCCACCCCCCGCCCAGAGACTTCAAGGCCCTTCCTTTAACGCAATACTGGAGAGAGTATGTATTTAGGGGGCACCCAGATAAATGATTACAGTAGCAGGACTGTATATTTTAAACATAAAAAGCTACCTAAACAGTGGTAGAAATTTGAAAGATGGTTCGAAGCTCTGAATTTTCTGGACCAACACAGAAGCCAGGAGGCTCTCTCTGGCATCAACACTGGAGCAGTGCTGGTTCAGTTCCGTTTTCACCGAGGATGTTCCAATGGGTACCCGGGTGGGAGAAAGCGCAGGCCGGTGAGGACAATGCCTCCGTGGCCTCTACGCCATGCGGCTGGTGAGCAAGGCTTCTTCCCATGGATGAGGTGCAGGGAATGCTTCCTGAGCAGGCCAGCTCTGAACACATTTGCCACCCCACCTAGGAGTATTCCCCACCTAACTTTGGTGACCGGAGGGTGAACCCCAGAAACCCAGGGAGCTTTCAACAGCAGCTGGGCCACCACTGGTCAAAGATCAAACGCCTGTTTGGAAATCTAAGCAGTGTTTCCTGCAAACCTCTCCGGACCCCTGGTCATGGACATGTTGGGTCTCTCGTCCTGGCAAACCCTGGGTGTCCCCACAGCCTGCGAGTGTCCCTTCCGCCGGTGCTCACCAGGCTCAAGCGCTCTGCAAACAGCGGGTCTCAGGGTTGTGCTCAGAGCCTGGGGCACCTGCAGGCCAAGTTCTTTTCCCCCCTCGAATGACCCCAAAAAGCAAGCTCGTGGCTACAGCACTTGTGTCTTCTCCCCGCCCCTCGCCGGGGTACAACCACGTGCTGTGGCGGATTCCAAAGCAGGAAGATAAAGAGACGTGGGTTCATAGTAAACCATAGTAAAGCCAAGAGGGAGACAAAATGGGGCCCGTCACATGGTCACGGCCTGGGTTTTTCTCAATTAGAAAGCAGAGGAAGTATGTGTTTCCGGCCTCTGTCAGAGGGCTGGTTGGACTTTCTCATTCTTGGGATTCTGCTCTAGATGCACGAATGAGGCTGAGTGCACAACATCCTGCCGGGGGGCCGGGCGGCGGGGAGGACCTGGCTCAGCTCCGCCGGCTCCGCAGGGACTCCGGGTGCAGGCGGCGCTCTCCGCCCCGCCCTCAGCCCGACCCCGGGACCCAGGCCCCCGCCCCGCGCCCGCCGCGGCTCGGCCATTCCTCGCGCTGATTGGTCCTGGCGGAGGCCAATCACGGCCCGGCCGCCCCGCCCGCCAGGGGCTCGTGGCCACCCCGCCGCCGCCGCCTACTACCCTGCGGCCCGGGAAGGGGCCCGGCCGCCCCGGACGACCCGAGGCGGGCGGGGGCTGGAGACAAGCGGGCGGCCTCGCTGCAGAGCCCCCGCCCCGGGCCAGAGGGGGCTTAGGAGGAAGGACGGGGAAGGCGAGAGCCAGATAGAGAGGGAGGAATGCAGGAAGCGGAGGTGACCCGGGAAGAGGGAAGGTGCCAGGGCCGAGAGAGGGACTGCAAAGGCCACACAGCGAGGGGGCGGGTGGGAGGTGGTCGTGGAGATCTGGAATCCTTGGAGCCACAGGAAGGGGGCAGAGACACAGGAAAAGACAAGGCCAAATTCTTCTTGTTTTTAAGAGGGGAGGGCGCTGACAAAAGCCGAAAAAAACAAAACCCGAACGGGATGGCTCGGGTCTGCGGCTCCGCCGGAGCCTGCTCCATGTGCCCGGCCGCCGTCTCAGAACTGAAAGGTGAACGCTGGCGTCCGCTCCGGCCCAGAGGCCCCCTCTCGGCGCGCCCTCCTCGGACTCTCCGCAGTTTCCTCCTGGGCAGAGGGCGGGTCACGGGGGCTGCACGCTGGGAAACCCCGAAAAGCAGCAGGAGAGAAGAGGCAGGAAACAAAGGGGCCAGGCGCTGGGCGGGGAGAGGAGCCGGGAAGGGTCCGGCCCCTCCGCGCGAAGCTGGACGGGCCGCGGAGGGGAGGACCGCAGATGGCTGCAGGCCAGGGTGATGCGGCCAGGCCGGGCACCCGAGCTCCACGCAGGCGGAGGCTGTGAAGTCCGGGGGCTTCAAGGGAGAGGCCGGGAGAAAGGGACCCCCTCCCCACACCTCGTGCCTCTCGCCCTGTGTCGGGCCTCATGGGCAAGGGCGGCTGTTGGCCGAGGAAAGTCACACACGCGCACTGAGCGGAAGCTGTTTGCCAGTCTGATCTCTGTTTCCGATGAGAACTATCAAATAACATCTTTAAACTCAACAGGGCAAAGACCAGCGGGCAGAACTGGGGACGTGAACGTGCCAGGTGGCATTTGGTGCCCCGCTTCTCTCTCTTTCTCTCTCTCACACACACACACTTTACATCTTACAACTACACATTGTGTTTTTCTGGCATGGAGCAGTCAAAGCATGGCCCATTGAGACTCCAGGATTATTAGGGATGTGATTATATGGTCACTCCAGAATACAAAGTTTCCCTAAGAAAGCTAAGGATAGAAGGCTGGAGATCTGGGGTGTAGGGGAGGATCTGTTTTGTTTTTTAATGTATACTCTACATAAGGAGGCATTACTTCAAACCTTTTTACGAAGATAATCCTATCTGGTCGTCAGTTTTCTTCAGAGCCAACATTATTCTACTCTACAAAAGAAACCTATGCAGATTTTAAAAGCCAGGTGAGAAATACTTATTATTTCTTAGCTGCTTCTTTCATCTCTTTTCAAACCACAATCTTGGTTATGCTAGGTTTGTTTCCTTCAGATTCTCATTACTTTATAAACGAAGCACTTTACAATGCAAATGGTTGGTGTCACAAAGATCCAGAATCCCCAAAAAATCATTGAGAATAACCAAAATCTTTACTATTGATGTTGACATACATAATTAAATCTTTTCTAGTGAATTATGAAAACAAATATTGAAATAAATACTGATCAAATAAATGCATTTTAGAACATATCACCTAAAATCTTAGTTTGAAAGATAAACCTATAATTTATTCTACAAAAAGAAAATGATAGATGTCAAATAGTAGATACAGAATCAAGCAGACTGTGACCAAATAAACAAATGCCTATTGATAGGAACCCAAGGCACAAATTAATTTCTTATGAATGGACACATAGTAAGAAGAATAAATGCTATTTTAAACTCATTCTGCAAAGTATTTATAAAATTCACAAGATAATCAGTTTGTCAGAATAAAGTATTTCCAAATGCTGGAAACTTCCACATTGCCAACTCATCACATTATTTGCAAACTATACTCCTCTCTTCTTCCCACAATTATGACCACCAGAAGAAAGGCTCAACAGAATGATGTGCAGGCTGATGTCCTGTTACAAGTGTTTTTCATTTTCAATACAGCCTGAACCACAGAAGACCTAACGCCAACTCTTGACATTCACTGAGGCCGCTGCTCTTGAACTTAAAGGAGTAGACATCCTAAAAGTGAAGAGGGCACGGCTTAGCCCCTACATTCAGTTCAAAACAAAACCACCTCCATTTCCCTGACTTAATGTGCTTTCTCTTCAACACAAAAAATGCTAAGTACTTTTACAGAAGATATACAGCAGCCCCCAAATGCAGGATGTCGCAGTGTAAGGAGGGAGACAACAGTAAGAGACACGATGGGATGAACTTCCCTAACTCAACTCCTAACGGGTCCCAGGTGCATGCAGCTTACTGTATATCCCGGAGAAAAGCAGCCATGCCTATGAGATGGTGGACCCTAAGTCCTGCTCCAGGAACAAAAAGAAAACATCACCCATAATCAGTTTCTCAAGAGATCACAGGTAAGTCTTTCTCTCTAAATACATAAGCCTAGAAAGTTCTTATTCTTGAACCTTTCAATGAAGAGATCAAGGATTTTATATAGGAACTTTGCCAACCTCAGAAGTGGTATTACAGAATGTAAGTTTTTGAAATACCACCAGCAGTACCACACTTGGGAATTCTCAACTGAAAAAACCCTCCTGTGGCTGTGCCGACACATTTGATTGACTATCTTGCCAGGTGTCACAGCAAGGTGAGCATCTGTGTCCCCCCTGGTCCCCCTCCACCCTTGCCCCTCCCCGCCTCCTGAAAGGGCATTTTCTACCAAGGAAATGGTGGGAAGAAACAGGAAAGAGCAGAGGCAAAGAGCGGAATTCAGGCACAAGGCTCCAAGCAGTTTGTCTTCTGACTCTGACACCCTGAAACGCACCTGCTGTGATGTCCAGTTGAGCTACTGGCGGTCCTCTGGTTGCTTCTGGAAACTGATGCTGGCATAGGCGCTTAAATCCTCACTGGAGCGGCTGGTGGAGCTGCTCTCACCGCTGCCCAGGGGCTGATGAGGATGAGGGGGCACAGGCTGGGGAGGCTGCGGCTGAGGGGGGCGCTCCTGAGGGCGCTGTTTGAAGTCCTTGACCAAATCCAGGTCTATGTAGTTAAGACCATTCTCCAAACCCCCAGCAGCCCCACACACTTGGGCTGTCTCCTTGGGGGCTCCCACCAGCTCCCCGGGCCTCAGCCACACATTCTCAAAGGAAGCAGAGCTGTGGCGTTTCACATCCTCACTGCCGCTGCCACCGCTGCCCCCTCCTGAAGCGCCCCCTCCGAAAGACACCGTGTTGCCCGCCCGGGTGGCACTGGGTGTAGAGGAGAAGGTCTCTGAGCTATGCCTCCTCCGGCACCCTTGTGGGTCTGCACGGATCACTTTGGCACTCTGGTTGCGGTTCGGACTGAGGGTCACCCGGGTGAAGGCACTCATGCCCCCGGGGCCTTGTGGCCCTCCCAGCAGGGAGGAGCGAGTAGCCAGTTCAGCTGCACCTTGAGGCTCAGTGGGGGAAGAGGAGGCTGCTGAGGATGAGGAAGGAGCAGCCGCTGTGGCCCGGGGCAGGCTGGCCTCCTCGGCAGCAATGCCTGCCCGCATGTCAGCATAGCAGACAGGGGCCACTGGGGAGGTATCCACGTAGCTCTGGCGGGAACAACCCATCTGCATGGTCATGTAGTCGCCTCGGCTGCTGGGCACTGCCCGGGTGGGCCTGCAAACGCTAGCTGCCCCAGGAGGTGCAGGGCCCACTCTGCCCAAGTCAGCCCCTGTGTTCTCCTGCCAGGTTGCCCTCCGGCCAGGTCCCAGGTCCATGTTCATGTACTCCTCGGTGCCAGTCTCTTCCTCTCGGGGAGCTGGCTGGAGCTGGGGTGGACACCTGATAGAGGGAGAGCTGTGGGAAGCCACAGGGCCAGACAGGTAGCCAGGTTGATCACTCCCAAATTCAATATTCACATACTCCCCTGGGCTCTTGGGCTCCGGAGGGTGCGGCAGGGACTGCTGCTGCTGCTGCTGCTCTCGAACCCGAGGCAAGGTACTGGCCTTGGGATCCCCCAGGGACAGCCTCGTGGGCCGAGCCAGGCGGCTGTTGGTCTGAGCAGCTGTGTCCACCTTTCGAGGCAGGTGGGGCTGTAGGACATGATGGTGGGGATGCGGGAGGCCAGGCTCTGGCCTAGCCCCACAGTATCCACCACCCAGGCTGTCGCTGCTGGTGGAAGAAGAAGAATCTTCAGCTGTCGCAGCATAGAGAAGGCGACCAGAGCTAGAGGAGAGGCGGAGGTGCTGGTGCCGGGCACCTTCCTCCAGCTCCCCCGGCCGCTGGGTGTGCTTAAAGGACCTTGGCAGTGAGTAGTAGGAGAGGACTGGCTTGTGCTGGGGGTCCTCAGGGCCATAGTAGCAGTCTGAGGGGCTGCTGGTGTTGGAGTCCCCCACTGGCGACATGTTCATGTATTCACCTGTGCAAGGCAAGAGCTTGCCACCACTGCTCTCCGCAGGGGGTTTGGGGTGAGGCAGGGCATGAGAGTGGTGGCCCCCTACCCCATTGGTCCACAGCTTGCCGTAGCTGCTCCCGGAAGGGGCGGCGCTGACGCCGCTGCTGCCACTGCTGCTGCTGGGCCCACCGCCAATGTCAGGGGAGCAGCTGCCACTGGGGGACATCATCATGTAGCCATTGGGGTCCACTCTCTGGGGGTGGCGTCTGATGGGGTTGATGATCTGTTGAGGGGCAGATACACTCTTGGGGCTCATGGGCATGTAGTCCCCACTGCCCTTGCGGCTGCTCCCTGGCACCGGGGCCACCCCCGGGGACATGGGCATGTAGCCATCGTCAGTGTGGAGAGTGGAGGAGTCTGGCCGGTGGTGGCCCCCGCGGCGCTCCAAGGGGTGCATCTCCAGACCCTCCTCGGGGTAAGAGTGGGTGGGCACGAAGGCGGAGTGCCTGTAGCCGGGCAGTCGGCCTCCACTGCCACCTCCCGGTGGGTAGGCAGGCATCATCTCTGTGTACTCCACCGAGGACTGCGATGGGGTCTTCTGGTGCGAAATGGTAGGGGAGGTGCCCGCCGAGTGAGTTCGCTTCCGGAAGCGATTTTCCAGGTCGGCGGCGCTGGCTGCATCCTCCGCAGCCAGGGCGGGGCTCACGCCCAGGCCCGCCCCGGGGATGTAGCGGTGGCCATTGCCTCCGCGAGCCAAAATGTAGTGACCGTTGGGGGCGGCCAGGGTGGAGGCCCCTTTGCCGCCCATGCAGATGTAGTTACTGAGCTCCTCCTCACCGCGGGCTGGCGGGGTGTGGCCCAGGGAATCGGGAGTGACACTGCGGAAGGAACTTCGAAAGTCGCAAGGACTCGAGCCATACTCGTCGGAGGAGATGAAGCCACCATCGCTGGGGGAGCCGGACACAGAGGCGCTCGACCGCCGCGGGAAGAGACAGTCCGAGGTGGAGCCGTGGCCACTGGTGCTGCTGGACGACAAACTGACGGGGCTGGTGGCCGACGGCGAGCAGCGAGAAGAAGGCATGGGTATGGAGCGGCTGTGGTTGAGCGGCGGGTGCAGCCGGGAGCTGCCCCGATGCCGGTGGGCGTGGGTCCTGTTGGTGCTGGGGCTCACCGGGCTGCCGTCCACCGAGGCTGGGCGCGACATGGTGCCTTCGCCGTCGCTGGAGGCGCGGACCCGGAAGGAACCTGGCTTCCCGCCCACCATGCTGGCCGGGGAGGTGGCGGTGATGCTCTCGGTGCGCGAGCGGCGCGTCAGCCCCACCTGGCTGGGCGGCGGGTTGTTGAGATGGTGCCGGCGCAGGGGGACGCTGATGGGGTTGGAGCAGTTGGAGGAGGACTGGCTCTTGCTGCGAGGGCGGAACTCGTCGCTCATGGCCCGCATGGCCTCCAAGATGGTCTCGTGCATGTTCTGGGCCACCACGGAGTCATCCACCTGCATCCAGAACTCGCCGGGGCCCGTCACGGCGGAGCGGCCCACCTCGATGAAGAAGAAGTTCTCGGAGTGGCCGCAGCGCCTGATGTTCATCAGCTGCAGCACCACGGCCGCGGCCTCCGAGTTCAGCTTCACGAAGCTGATGGTCTTGCTGGTCAGGCACAGGCGGTAGATGCCGATCAAATTCTTTGTCTGCCCCAGGCCTTTGGGTTTCAAGATCACCTGCCAGACCTCCTTGAAGGCGGGTCCTGGGGGCATGTCCCCGTAGCTCAAGTCCTCTCCAGCCTCGCCCAGGCCAGAGCTGCCGCTGCAGCTGCCCCCAGCGCCTCCCGCCCCGGTGGCCGAGGCCCCATCGTGGTGGCCCTTGGCGCGGTTGTGCAGCTGCAGGAGAGCCTGGTACCAGCTGTCCTGCTCGGCCTCGCTGTCTGCCGCAATGGCAAAGTGTTCGTCCCGGGTGTAGAGAGCCACCAGGTGCTTGTTCTTGGAGTCAGCCCGCTTGTTGATGTTGAAGCAGCTCTCCAGGGGGATCGAGCGTTTGGGGGCGCTCGACTTGTGCCGCCACTTCTTCTCGTTCTCGTAGTACTCGAGGCGCGCCGGGCCCCCCGCCTCGCTGGCGGCCCGCAGCACGAAAAAGCGCTTGTGCATGCTCTTGGGTTTGCGCAGGTAGCCCACCTTGCGCACGTCCGAGAAGCCTTCGGTCTCCGGAGGGCTCGCCATGCTGCCGCCGCCGCCGCCGCCGCCGAGCAGAGGCAGGAGCGGAAAAACAACTGGGTGGGGGGCGGAGGCTCCTCGCCGCGGCCCCGCACATGCAAACAGGGCTGGACGCAGCTGAAACCCCCCGACTCTGAAATCCACGCCGCCCCCCGAGCCGGGGAGGTGCAGCCGAGGAAAGACGCAGGGGCTGCGCCAAGGAGAGAGCCGGGCCGGAGTTTATGGGCGCAGGGGTGAGGCGGTGAGTCCGGGGTGAGCGCAGCCCCGATTCCTCCGAGATCCGAGAGTCCGCGCAGCTGCCGCGGCCGAGGAGCAGCAGCCGAGATGCATCGCTTGCGGGCCCGGCTGAAGTCGGGCGCAGCGAGGCAGCCGCGGCCAGGGGTCCCCGCGTTGCCCCTGCAGGCGCGCGCGCGCCTTCCCTCCTGAGTTCCCCTCTGGAAGTAGCGATTCCCGAGGCAAATTAAATATCCTTGGGCAGGGGGAGGCGGGCTGCCAAGTCCCAACGTTGCACGGGGCTCTTCCCTCCTCCTTCGCCTCCTCCTCCGCCTCCTCTCACCCCCCCTCCACCGTCCCCGCCGCCACCAGTTCCCAAATACCAGCTCAGTCGCGGAGACCGCGGCGCTGCGGCTGCTGCTGCTGGTGCTGCTGCTGCTGCTGCCGCCGCCCGCGGACGCGTCCTCCGCAGCCCGCACGCGAGCCCATCCCGGCGGGCGGAGAAAGTGGCTTTTCCACGCGAGGCGCTACCGGGCAGCCGGGGTGGCCGGGGACGGTGCCCCCGCGCTCCACTGCAGGGGAGGCGGCGAGGGGGGCGACTGGGGACGGATTCGGGGAAGACGCCCGCTCCCTGCGAGGCGCTGCCGCCGCAGCTCGCCCCTCCCTCCTTCTCCTCCTCCTCCTCCGAGAGTTGCCGAGCGCCCCAACCAAAACAAGCGGCGGCGTCTGGCTCTGCGCGCCGGCCCCCTCCGACCGCGCCGCCGTCTCCCTCGGAGGAGAAAAACACGTGACGGAGCCTCCGCGCTCGGCAGCCGGACCGCCGCCGCCGCCGCCGGGAGGCTCCCGCCTGGGTCTCTCCAGTCCGGGCCGAGCCCGCCCCGCGCCCGCCCCTCCCCGCCCCCGGGCCGTGCCGCAGCGGCGCCCGCGCCGGCCTCTGCACCGCGCCGCCGCAGCGCCCCTGCGCGGCCGGCCGCCCCGGCGCAGCGCCTCCGCGCCCGCGCGCCACGCAGGGCGCCCCCGGCCCGCAGGGATCCCCGCGGCGGGCGCGGGCGGGGGTGTTTGGGTGGCTACCCGGGCGCGCGAGGGGAGTCTGGGAAAACGGGAGGGGGGCGAGCTCGGGAAGACGCAGGAGTGAGGGTGGGGGGTGGCGGGGGGGTGGGGTGGGCACTGCGGCTCCGGGGCCCCGCGTGGGAGGGCCTGGGAGAGGGGGGCTGGGGCTGGGCTGGATGTTACCCACAGGTAAGATGGACCCCGAGTGTGTGCGTGTGTGTGCGCGTGTGTGTGTGTTTGGGGAAGGATGTTTTCCACGCAGGGGCATAGAAAAATCTGGATTTCGGGGTGCTAGGCCCTGGCGAGGACATTCTGGGAGGTTGGCCGGGGGACTTGGGGGCCAGTCTCGGAATCCCCGGATTTGCCTCCCGGCAGGACCTCAAAGAAACGGAGGGTCGCCCAAGGGCAGCGAGTGGGGGGCTTATGGTCCCTCCAGGGGGAGAACGGGGTGCCCAGGAGGCACCTCAATTGGAGAGGAAAATGTAAAACGCCACAGTGTCTTCCTCCCGCTTGCCCACAGTAGGGGATGTGTCCACACCTAGGGGTGAGGGCGTGGAGGCTGTGGGATGCCCCCCGTCATCCTCTGCAGTGTATTTGCGATTTTTAAAAGGTGTTGCACAGGGCTCCTAAGGCCAAAACCCTCCCGGGCCCGCCCTGTTGGCTGGCATGTTTGTTTCACGCAATCTTCCACACCCATGGAACCAACCACCCCGTACATTTTTCACCTTGACCACAAGGACAATCGGGAGACAACAAGCATGGAGCCAGCTCGAGTGTGCAGGAAAATGGGTCGCCCCCGAGAAGCGGGAGCGCCCCTCGCTCGGTTAACCTTGTGCGGGCTCCCTCTCCACGGAGTTCCGTGTGCGCGCGCCTGTGCGTCTTGACCTGACCCGTAAACAAGCAGTCGGTCCTCAGCCCCACAAACAGGACGCCTGTCACTCCGTTTAGCTCCATCTCATTTGCCCACCCCACCTCTGGCCCCTGGGGGTTCCTAGCCCCTTCCACGCCCGGGACCCTCCGCAGCCTCCGGGTGTCCCGCACTGCGGGATGCACGTAGAGGAAACGCAGCGGTCGGGGCGGGGGTGGTGGGGAGCGGCCATGCTCAATGGCCAGGACCCACTGGGCAGCCGGGCAGCGCGCCTCGGCCTAATACGGGGTGGGGGGCGGGGCGAGTTTCCTGGGGCAACCTGCTGATTGGCGGGGCTGCCTGTCTCTCAAGACTTGCACTGCAGCGCGGGTGGGGAGAGAGAGAGTGAGGGTACCAAGGTAGGTTGCAAGGCGTAGTAAAAAAAAAAAAAAAAAAAAGGAGAAAAAGAACCGTAGGCGCCATTCAGTCGCGTGCGGTACGTGAACTGGGGGGTCTCGCATCTGCAGAGGGGCCGCCCGCGGCGGAAGCCTGGGCGCCTCTCCCCTCGCCTCTCCCCTGCCCTGCAGGGGCGCAGCCCCCTCTGCCCTGGTGGATGTATAATTTGAGGACAAGAGTTGAACGGACACCCTCCCTTCTCCGCCTCTGACGGCTGGGTGCTGTGGGCACACGTGCCCACTACAGCAGAGCTATAAATAGCAGCTACTGGGGAAGGGGAGCGAAGCCGCAGAGACCGAACTCCTGAGAGTAGCGAGTGCTTCGTAGGGGGCAGAAGTTGGTGGGAAAGTGTGCAGTTGACCCTAGGCAGAGAAGAGACAAATCGGTTGTTTATTGCTAACAGTGTAGTCTAGAAGAGGCCAGAGGCGCTTTGCAGGTTTGATGTTTAGCGCAGGATGGGCGGGGGAAGGGGAGGAGGATCCCATTTTGTAGCGAAACAGTTCGAATGCACAGACTCTGGCTTTTCAAGGGACCCCCTCCTTATTCTCAAAAAAACTAAATGAAAGAAACGTTCCTCCATGGGATGCAAGGTACTCTTTCCTGTAGGGAGGTAGACTGGAAAACCAGTTTAATTTGCAGGTATTTTACAATGATCTTCACAAAAAAGATCGGGATTTCGAGCTCCAGAACTGATTTTTATTGCAAAAGCTCTTACAAATAGGTCTCTCGGTGTCTCAAAAACGCAACCTAGGTGACTAAAATACTCTGCAGAAATCATGGAATAAGCCGCATTGCTCTGACAAGTTCTATCCAGTACAAGGTTTCCTCTGAAAAATAATCACTGATTTTAGGATGTTGTTGCCTCCACCCCTTTTGGTAGTTGCTAGAGATTTATTATCAATGTTAACTGTGGTTAATATTTATTATAATTATAGTAAGTTCTCTGCTTTTTTCTGTTAATGGGTTGAGATCGCTGGAAATGAAAATTACATAGAATGGAGAGAAGCCTTTCTGGAATCTAGGTGAAGAAACATTGATCAGATACAAGTATTATTAGCTTGTGGTGCATGAAATACAACTCGGGCCGGCGCAGTGGCTTAGCAAGGAAAGCCCCTGCCTTCAGTGCAGGCATCCCTTATAGGCGCTGGTTCAAGTCTGGCTGCTCCACTTCTGTGCCAGCTCTCTGCTGTGGCCTGGGATAGCAGTAGAAGATGGCCCAAGTGCTTAGGACCCCGCACCCCGGGAGACCTGGAAGGAGCTCCTGGCTCCTGGCTCCTGGCTTTGGATCGTCGTAGCTCTGGAGTCTTGGCCAGGCCATTTGGGGAGTGAACCAGCAGATGGAAGATCTCTCTCTCTCTCTCTCTTTTTCTCTCTCTCTCTCTCTGCCTCTGTCTCTCTGTAACTCTGCCTTTCAAATAAATAAATAAATAAATCTTTTTTTTTATAAAAAAAAGAAAGAAGTACACCATATGAAAAATTCACTCCTAACTCAAAATTCACAGGAACAGAAAAACAGCCTAGTACCAAAATATGTTGCTCAATGCTGCCATCTATAGGACAGTCGGAGATGAATCGTGTAATACCCGAAAGTGCGTTTTAAGAGGACTGAAATGATTTATCAAAATCTTGCAACAGCTGTGTTGATACCGCAAAAAAGTCATGATTCAAGAAGTTAAAACCCTACATTCCATGCGTTGTTTTGCGCAGTGCATCTAAAATTGGCTTTAAAATGGAAATGTTGGCCTATGTATGCCAACTATAGGAAAATCACACAAAATTTATAAATTACTATATATTCCCAAAGTGTTTGGGTTGGATAAAGGTGCAACTAACCATTTGAAAATTATATGTAAATAAAAAATAAAATTGTAAAGTATTTCCTGTATCAAGCTATGCTTTCCTTAAATAAATGGGTATAATCACAGGAGCTGTTTTAATATTGGCATCTCAGAATTAACTTTGATAATTTAGAACAATTCTTGAAAGAAAATAAAAATGTGACTTTTCTCATTTTAAGATATATTTCTTTTTGAACATAGCTCAAAACTAATAGCAAATATTTGAACGTCTCTTCTGAAAGGCAATACAAAATGTATAAAAAGCATCTTACAGCTTGGATCAGGTAATAAGAGAGATGTAAAATAAAGATAGTTGACAGTCAGTATCATTGGTGTATTTGTTTACAACATGTAGAGACCATGGTGGATGCAATAACTAAAGAAATAATTATGAGAAGAGGAGCCTTTAGCTTGAATTTGAAGGGTGGCTACAACTCAGTTAAGTGATTGTCAGATTCTGTTTCTCATTCAAGATTTTTTGAGCACTACTTGTGTATTAGGCACTAGGCTAGACCGTGAGATTTAGATAGCAAAAACATGATCCTGCTCACAGGAAGCATACAGTGAAGATGGGAGACAAATGAACACAATTACAAAGCATTCTGATCTCTTTCGTGAGAAAGTAGGCACAGATCAAATGAGATCATGTAACAACCAGTTGAGCTAAGCCACTACTTGCAATGCTCCCTGCTAATGCACCTAGGAAAGTAGCTGAAGATGGCCCAAACACTTAGTCCCCTGCCACCCACA